GTCCCACCAGCTGCCTGCCAGGTGCTGCTCTCCGAGCAGCACCGTGGCCTTGGCTGCTAGCCAGCTGCTGCAGCAGCTACGCCTTTGGCGCCCCTCCTCTGGAGCCTAGCCACTGCACTAACCTTCGGAACGTGCAGTGCCTTCACCTGAAACGCCTCGCATGGTGGTGCGCCACCTGACCCGGCAGACGGTGACCCGACGACGAGCAGCAGCTGGCCGACCCTGACACTCGCCTCGCCTGGAAAACGTACCTTCCTTTAAGTTTCATAAGAAAAGGGTGGATGACTTTTGCGAGGCACACGCACACACTGCCCCGATCTGAGCGAGTGTTCATTGCTGTCAGCTTACAGGCAGGCATCGATCGACGACACTCAACGTGGAAATCTGGGAACAATATACATTGCCTCTGTCTGATAGACCGTGTGCGTTTGGCGTCGGCGCAGCAGCGCGCACCCTGGGCAGTGGTGCCGCGCGTAGCAGCAGCTGAGCAGCGTGCTGCATCCCAGCCCGCGCACACCCAACTGCAGAGGCTGCTGACCCTTCACTCGAGCAGGGGCTCAGTTACTTCAGGTGCACATCGCTCTGGGCAGCCGGCTCGCTAAGGTCGCGCCTGGAAGCAGCGGCGGCGGCGCTGCGGCGCACCGGTCAAGATGCCAAAGCGCACGACTATCCTATACACCAGCTCTGATGGCATCAAAGGGGCGGGTGACAACGAGCTGATTCCCTACTACTGCAAGTTCTCCGGGCGGCACGCCTTCACGTCGGGTGCGTGCAGTGGTAGTGGGCGGGCGTGGCGTATGGGCGCGCCTTGCTGCCCGAGGCGGCCTGTCGGCGTACAGGCACAGCTTGGCACGTGATGGATTGTTTGCGGGGCGGGGGTCTGCCTTGAAGCCGCAGTGACATCTGTTGCGTCTGTTGGCGGTGGTCCCGGCGGCGCCCGCCCGTCATGACTCGGTGTCATGTGTGGAACGCAGACAACACTGCATGCCGGCCCAAATACGCGCCGGTGCGCGTGCGCTTGCTTACATGAACGCGCTCACAAACCACAGCTCACAGGCCAGCACCACTACCCCCTCAACCGGCTCACTCACTCACCCCTGCCCCCTCTTTTTTCCTCCAAAACCCCCTTGGAACACCCGCCAGACGTCGACATCGACACCCTCCCCCGCCGCCGCGCCGACAACTCGCGCATCCTGGACCAGTCCAAGCATACAGTGCGCCTCTACACCTCCGACGGCGGCGTCAAGCTGCTGCGCCGCAAGGACGGCGCCGTGGAGCGGCAGCACAGGCTCAATGTGGGGCGGCTGCCGGTGGCGTACACGGCGGAAGCTGAGGGGCAGCTCCTGTACGTGATGGACGGCGCAGTCACCGCGTTCACCAAGGACCCAAGTGGGTGGCCGGGCCCGCCCGCACAGGCCGGCGGCCTGGGGCTCGAGCGACGCGCTGGCTGTCTTTTCGGGAATTCAACTGTTGCACAGGCTGTCCGCGCGGGATCTTGACAGCAGTGGCGTTGGGCTGCGTCGGCGGCTCACGGCTGGCCATGTGCGGCCACGCTTTGTTTGCCCCCATGTCTGCATCCGGTCCGTTTGGTGTTGGTCCTCTTCGCACGGTCATACGCGGCAGCCCTCCGTGCTGACCGTGTTCATGGGGAAGAGTCGCCCCCTCACAACCCCTGTTCCGCCCCAACGTCGCGCCCCGCCCCCCCGGCAGGCGCGAGCGACCGCATCCCCGTGCCGCCCTGCATCCGCAAGGGGGAGAGCGGCAGCACCGAGGTGGTGCTGGAGCTGGAGGACCGCCAGCAGCACACGGCCGTGGCCAAGATCACGTCCGACGCGGTCCGCATCCACCTGACGGGCGGCAGCAGCGGCGAGGCCGGGCAGCAGGAGCTGCTGGGGCTCATGAGCCGCGTGCTCAACATGAGGCTGAGCCAGATGGTGGTCATGCGCGGCGGGACGGGGCCCAAGCAGCGGGTGCTGACCGTGGAGACGCTCACGCCGCGGCAGGTCTACCGGGCGCTGCGCGGGGACGGCAGGGGCGGCGGCGCGCGGGGGGA